AAAGCATTCTGGAGAATACGGAGGCGGAGACAGACTGTTTCCTTTGAGCTGTCTCCTTCTGAGCAAAGTATTCCTGGTTTTTTTTTTTCCTCCTGGCATCTTTCTTTTTCCCTTCAAACAATCCCAAGCAGGAAAAGGACCTTTCTCTTCTGCGGAGCTTTCTTTACCCACCCATAAGAGTGCTTCCGAGCAATGTATTCCTTTTGTGTGTGTGGTGGCTGCTTTGATGTATCAATATGCCTTTTAAAATATTTTTAAGGGGGGATACGTACACAGTGGCCATGTATGGCCACAGCACCCAGAAACCCAACCCTTTGAGAGGAAACAGATTGGCAGTAATGTTCACACATGCTGAAACGACAAGGAATGAAGTGATTCATCATCGATACAAATTAAAACCACACTTTCAGTGAGGGGGAAATAAACTGGAAATAAAATGCTGGCCAGAAAAATGAGTCGATCTTGGCTGTGCATTGTGGGTTCAGAAATGTGTGAAACAATCTAAAACACCCTGGCCATATTGGTATAACTGGGGTTATTTGGCCAGATGTGATCAAGCCCTAATTCTGTATAACTGAACCCATTTTGTAGGGATATTCCTACTGACTGAACGTGCCATCTCTGCTGAAAGTGGATACTATGATTCACAAAATCTTTTTTTTCTTCACAGTGCATACTGCATACCATTCATGTAATGAAATCTATGACATTCACACAAACAGTTTCTTATATTTTATTTTTTCCTCAATATAAAGAAGATTAAGCAAGCTGTATAATACTTAAAAATTGGAATGATACCCCACACAAAGAAATGATGGATATGAGACTTAAATTCCTGACTCAAAACCCTTAATGAAAAAGGTGCCTGGTTGAAAAAATAATTGTTTAAATTGAAAATATTAAATCAGTTATAACTGCAGCTGGTTATAGAATCTGAATCTGTTAGATTCTGCCCTTTGATCTGAAATTCTGAAGTGGAATCAAAACCTTTGGAATTCATTACTTTGTAAGAGAACAGGGGACATTTGTCTTCTCCATATGGGTGTATTGTTTTCTATTTTTTTCAATAGGAAGACAATTATGCCTGGAAAACCTGAGAATTTTATACATGCTGAATACATTTTGCTGCAATTTTGTGATTTCCATTCAACCCTGTAAGGAATTAGAAGGAAACTGGGACTTGTAGTCATACAAAGATCGAGTCTGTTAGGTTTGTTGTGAAGTTGGATTTAAACTACTGAAAAGTTCTCATGGGATTGTTATTCCAAGCTTCTCTGCCTGGCATTGAGATAAGAAGCAAGGCCGAGGAGACTGGGGGAAGACGAAACAGTACATACCACTTAATTGGGACAAGATAAACCCGAACAAACCAAAACAAAATCAAGAGTGTGTTTGTATTACAGATACTACACTTGATCTTAGCCAAAAGGCTGAGAAGCTATATACAGAGCAATTATGTTCTAATTGCCTCGTGACCGGAACACAATGGCAAAAGTCAGGTAATTTCTTTCCATCTGTTTTTTTAAAAAAATATTATTTTGTCTATATCAGATTTTGGAATTGTTTTGTTTTGAAACAAACATGTTTTTTTAAAACTAGGAATTCTGAATACTTGGAATAAATTCTACCATGATAATCATTCATCAGAAAGGAGCCAAAGACATGTTGGCATTTCAGAATAATTATGGAATCCAGGTTAGACTAGCTTATTTCTTTGAGACTGAGATATTGTTCTTAGAGGGACAGTAAGCCACCATCTGAAACAAAGCACAGATTAACTGTTATTCTATTGTCATCTGAATGCTTTTACAGTTTCTTATTCAAAAGTTTCACAAAGCATACTGTGCTATTCAGTCCTTCCTACTGACAGAATGTGATATGTCCTTTTAGTCTAGGATTCTGGGTCTCTCCACTTCTAGCCTCCTTGGACTGTCCTTGTGAATAGAGATGCAGATACATTAATGTCACACAGATATAATATAAAACCATGGCTAGTTTTGGCATAAACCTTCCAGGTCTGGAGGCATAAACCTTTTACATCCGTAACAACATGGTAAAATTGTCTTTCAAGTTCAACAAGTCCTAGGTTCTCAAACTTTCCCCCTTCATCACCAATGATGAAGAAATGTAGAACCAAACTCTCAGAACCATGCTTGCCATTTCACCAAATAGCTACTGTAACTGTGCTTAGCGCTAGATGCTTCTCCGCAGCCTCACAGAAAATGTCCCTGCTCTCATTTGAAAAAGTTCTTTCACATGCAAATAAAAGTTAGAATGTGGAATATTATTTAAAACACGCTAGCTGTTGGACACAATCCACCTACTCAGTTGAAATGATGTCACAATCAGCAGCATATTGTCAAACAGGAAACACTTCCTTTCATGTTTGAGGCTCCACACACCTCACCTCATGGTTATGAATCACAGGCACCCTGAAATAAAAAAGGAAGTCTTTAATCAGCAGCAATATGCTGCTGACAGTGACATCATCCACATTACTCAGGCTGAACATGATTTTGGCCATTAAAATGCAGACAACACAGCTGGTATATGTAGGCAGATAGAGTAATGTTGATGACTGCACTAATATTTAGTTTGTGTACAAATGTGTTATTTCATTTGTGAAGCTTATCCTGTAGCTAAGGGACATGCTGTGAACCATCTTTTTCTATTATACCTCTCATAACCTCAGTATAGGCTAGACTTTAGATTAGGAAATAAAGTATGGCAGACTGATTCTGATTGTAGATCAACAGACATCATCTCTAGACCACCCTCTGATACAATGTCCCATTTCTGTTCCTCTTTTCAGACAGAAAGCTTCTAAGATCTGACATTCATATGCCAACATAGTATTCCTCTTAGCATTTAGGCTGACAAACATTCTTCTTCAGTGAGCGTACACTTGTTACACCAATGGAAAGATAGACTTAATTTATTTTGAATATAATTTCTGAACTTCAAAAGCAGCAAAGAACCATAAAATCCTGTCTTGCCACAAAATTAATTTAACTGTATCAGTGGAATTAAAAAAGAGAGAGAAGAGAAGGTGAGGAGGGAGCTTCTTCTATGTAAGGATATGCAGAAGCTTCTGAATGCAGATAATATTATCTTGTTTAATATAATGCAAGACTTCTCATAATCAGCATTTGATGTGAACCCCCCTTCACAACTTTTAATAAATCAAAAGCTTTTGTAAAGTTCAGGAAGAAATTATTCATTCTGTAATCAAGCATCTTACTCACCAAGAATGGTACTGAAAATATTGATGTCACAGTTTCTACAATTCCCATTTTAAAGTTTGAACTTTCAGAGGGTGAGAACTCTGCAACAGCATACTTAAAATCAGAAGTTATAAGCAAAGAAAATGACTTAATTGGTGCTGTGAAACTGGGGTGCAAAATCCACTGTTAGTCCCAAATGGAGCGGACCCACTGAATCAATGACAATTCTACAAGTGTCACCATTCTATAGCTGGTTCAGTGGGTCTGTTCTAGTCTACAATGGAATTTAGGTGTTTGTTTCATGAAGTCCTGTTCACATTGTACAATGGGGGAATGTGTGTACATTTCAGATTAGAATATTGAAATCCTTGTCATTTCCTGTGGTTGATTGCTGGTGAATGTTCCCCTTCATAATAAAACAGATGTTCAATCATAGATTTGCTTTATGGGATCCAGACACAAGTGTTTAAATCCTGAGTAATCTCCCTTTTATGGCCCCAGGGCTGCATTAATCTGGACAGAAAAAAAAATAGATGCAAATATGGAGCTTGCATGAAGCAGAGCCAATGCACCATATTTAAGTATATTAATGCATCCCATCTATTTAATTATTGCAAATAAAATGCACACTGCTAGTGTTACATTGTGACTTCTTATGATTAGCAAGGTCCTAAATTTAAAAAAAACAAAAACAAAATGTTGATCTGTGGCTGACAACTCTCTGCCTCAGGTGTTTTTGTATTATAGAGCAACCCCACCACCCCCATTCTCTGTAGCTTTGATTTTTCAAATTCACTTTGGTCTTCCACTGGAGTAATTTAAAACAGTATTTTTACAAAATGAGTTTTGACTGCAGGCTGTAGCACTTGACAGTGACTTGGTCTTTGGGAGGATGAACAGAGGATGAGCCTGACATGCTCACCAATAATGAGCCAGTTGGGATGTTCACATCCATCTTTCTTACCTCTCCCTCCACCTGTAGTTCCAAAGGCAAGTCCCTCTTTCCTTCCATTACCCAAAGCCATCTGCTGATGAATTGACTGTGATGCAGTTTAAAAAAGGAACCAGACATCTGTTTTGGGGGTCATTTTTCTATATGCCCGAACTTTGAACAGTTTTTTTTTCTACACCAAACATGTCACTCCTTTTTTTGACTACAGATTCCAAAATTGTTCCACTAGTAGCACCTGTTTCTTCTCAGGACATTTGTATTTGTTTATTGTCCCTTAACTAGCACATCACTTGATTCAGCTGACAAAAAAAGAAAAATAGGGAGTGCCATCAGCAAGCAAACAAAACTTTACTTATAGTCAACTAGCCCTTCACTATTCGCCTTCATTAGCATCAGGTGTTACCCAACTTATTTAGATACTTTCTTTTTCCCCAGGAAACCACAGCCTTTCCACTTCTAAGAACAGCCTTATTTCCCTGCTACTGATATGGCAAGAGTTCCTAGTGGAATAGGTGGAAGCACTTCTTCTGCTTTGGATTCCCCTTCTTCCACCTCATGGGAATATCCCATGCATTATTTCAAACCACTCTGAACTTGACATGAGAAAACAACATGAAACAAACTTTTCCTAAAACGAATGAAAAGCTATGCACCTTGAGGAATGGAAAGATGATAACCAGAAATATAAAAATTGTTACGGCGGATACTTAATCTGACCAGCGATCAAGTGTCAAATATAAGAGCCAGATAGCCTCTATATAACACCGACCATTTTTGTCTCTCACAATGCGTTTGCTGTTAAAAACAAAACTAAAATGCCTTACCTGCACATTTTGTTCTTGTTGTGAGTGGAGGGCCAGGTGGTCCAGTCCCTCCTTCTCCAGGACGGGTAAGAAGCACTCTGATCTCATACTCCACATCAGGATCTAGATGCCATAACTTGTAATTAGGTGAATCAACAATGTGAGTTTCAGCCCAGTTCCCATTAGTCGTACGGTATTCCACCTCTTTCAGGATTATAGGTCCATCTCCAATTATAGAATTTGCATTTGGCTTGATCCAAAGATAGGTGGCTCCAACAGCTAGAAGTTCAGGGGGTGCAATAGGTGTGGGAGGTTCTGTAGGTGAAAAAAATAATCTATATAAATTTCTAGATGCTATTTTTTAAAACTCTTTGCTTTATTTAAAGAGAGCTATTGTTATGTGGTACAACAGGAGGTACAGACATATTCAAGGGTGATACGGATTGCCATCCATGATGAAAACACATATTCAAATTTCACTTCCTTCACTTTCATTTACATCAATGCTATTTTATTTTGAACCCAGGTCTCCTGAATTTCAATCCATCGCTATATCCACTACACAACACTGTGTATTTTAAAGTAAAAACAGACAAATATATAAACAGAGATAGCTATAGCTATATGGAACACTGAGACAGACTTTTTTTGGTATGTTTCATGCGCCATCGAGTCAGAAATGACTTATAGTGACCATAAGAGAGATTTCAAGGTAAGTGAAATCTCTTTCACCATAAGAGAGATTTCAAGGTAAGATTTGTTTTACCAGTTCCAAACCTCCCCTCTCCCAAAGAGTTTCCATTGCCAAGCGGGAATTTGAACCCAGGTCTTCTGTATTATAATTCATCACGCTATCCTTTACACTGCACTGGGTACCCTATGTCCTGAATGTTGCTGGACTGAAATTTTCATGAACTCTGTCACTTTTATTGTAACCCTAAGCTGAACAGCTGAATAAAGCTAATATTGAAGTTTAAGCCCCCATGATTAGGAAGGTTTTCTATGGGCATTCTTCTGAAAGAGTATTTATTTTAAACGTGATCAACATGATTAGAACAGAGCTGTGACATTTCTCTCATTCATTACTGCTGTCATTTAAAATGCCTGAGTTCAGGCAACTCTCTTGGTATTGATCATGGTTGTTTTAGACTTTTAGACTTAGTGGCCAAAATTACACTAAATTGATATATAAGTTCATTGCACAAGGAGGGGTGGGAGGGAGAAAACATGCCTAGCCAATTAAGAATCCCTAGAGAGAGGAACTACAATAAGTATGCTAAGTAAGCTGTATAGATATTCAGATAATTAGTCCAGAAAAAAAGAGTGCTGTTTACATGAGGTTACGTTCTCTTAGGCCTGCACACAGAGAATTAATATAAATAATTGAACCATGGATAATGATGATGTAGATTCTATGCACTTCTAAATTAGTAGCCAAAAATAGGGCTGACAGCTGTGGTGTCCCAATAGAACCCTTACAGTTCATTGTCTGTGGTTCAAGCAAATATTGGCTAAAGCATGAGATGAGCAGCCATGTTGTACCAAAATAGTACCAGGGCACAGGACACTGATTATTCCCCTTTCTCCCAGCCCATCTAAATAATTGGAAAGGAAATGAAGAGTGACGCAGGTTGCTACTTGCCACTGAAAGTTCCTGGCTATTGCGAATTTGCTACATCCAGAGAGCTGGTTGACCCAAGAATGAAAGTAGTGCAGAAGTACTAGGTCTTCTTAAAGTGTGTGGAGCACACAGACAATTAGGACACCACACTCTCTATTCGGGCTTTGATCCTGGAAATACAACAATGTGGAGAGGAAGATAATGTTTTATCCAGGTAGCTTTTCCACATGAACCACTGGAGTGGAAGGGCTGGCTGACAAACATTAACTAATACAAAGAAAATCAGGTTCTGGATATTTCCATTGCTTGATGTCTCTTTGTGAATGGCAGTGAGTACAAGAGGGAGCCTTTTAAACCTTCTTGGCTGCTGCCATTTTCTGGCATTTTGAATTATAGGTACAGAAGGACTATCCCATATTCATAAGCCAGAAGTTTTCTGAAAGTATTGAATTATGACTAAATTCAATACGAGGAACCTACCAGAATTCAACTGGAAAGATGGCATTCTACAAACCACTCTGATCAGCAGAATTAGAAATAAATGTGCTAAAATGCAAGCCTGTGTTTATAAACATTTCTTCTCCCCATGAAATGCACATTCACATATTTATGTCCACATAAAATGCATATATATTTGCATTTAAATGCAAAACACTAGTCATATTCTGTGTGATGAGTCACTAGTTATGAAAATCAAGAGCTAGAACCAGCCAAATCATGGCATGCAGCAATTAGGGCAATGATGTTGCCAGTGTAGTGGGCAACATGAAAGCTTCCTTAACAGTCATTAAAATCACCATGAAGACAAAACTGAATGGCTCTATGGCAGTGATGCAAAGAATTCTAATTCAGTTCTTAATTTTTCTCAAATTAGGCTAAAACTGCTTGACACAACACTTTGGCGATTTTCATCACCATGATGAGATTCTTCACCTCCTAGAAAGAAGGCAGAAATAGGAGGTGTTGTTTATTTTCCAATCAAAGTCTCTGCTGTCTGTGCAAACTACCTATGCACAAAACTAGTTATGATTTCCCTTTGAAAAACAACACACACACACACACACAAGAACTGAATGACCAGTTGACTGATAAAAAAAGTTGAAAACCACTAGTTCTTAAAATTTCATCTGATAAATTAGCCAACACCATAATTTCCCACAGTTTATAGTACAGTAGGATACCCTTACCCATGGAATCAGTATTTGGTGATTCACTTATCCACAGCCTGAAAATATTAAAAATATTAAAAGAGAAATCCCCAATATATATTCAACTTAATCGACAGGCAGGTTTGAAACCAATCCCCCACAGCTATGGGGGTCCTACTGTATTATTTCAACGTTGCTTAATAAGCACAGATACAAAAACATTCCCATTTTTCCTGTCAAAAGCATGGGAATATATCTTGTCTTTCTGTGATTAGAGGAGAACAATTTTCCCATTTCTTGCCTCTACCACAAGAAATGACAAGTGACACTTTGGCCCGACCATATATGAGGTAATCATATTCTCTACATAACCCCAGGATTTCAGTAGATGGCAGTGAATCAGCAGTAAATTATGGAAAACAATGCCTTCAGGTAGATGCAACAATGCCCAGAACAGCTAAAGAGGAGCTTACAACGTTCATACTAAAATCAATCAATATGTAAATATGGCATAGTGCTGATGCAAATGTGTACCAATATTTTAAAATGTAGAGTTGTGCACATAGAGTTGTGTGCAAATAGCCTCTCAAAATGTTGTGGCCAGAAGAAATGGAATGGATTGTTTCAGTTTCCAGCAGTTTCTCAGTGGTAGGGCTTCCCATGAACAATGCCATTAGCACATCTAAATACATGGTTTCTAAGTAAAGGAAGCAGCAACAGAGTTTGCAGTCTAGCCATGATCTGGGACCCACCACAGTGCTTGGTTGGTGATATGGGAAAATTCACTGAATCTTTGTCAGAAATAATTTTCTTTGTTTAGGACCCAGTGGAATCATAAGAAGAAAAATCATGGAAGTTTTCTCAGGAAAAAAAAATGTCTTTTTGAAAAGATTAAGATGTCATAGCAATTGGCTTGATTCCACTGATGTGGAAGGGACTATGTATCACATGTTCACCTGCGTAATTAACTTAAACACACATTGCAGCAATTTCCTAGTCTTCAAATGCCATGAATTTCACAAAGTGAAATTCCTCCGTTTAAGAGATTGAAGCTCATTCACGACACAAGTGAAAACATCTATAGATTTAACAATGATATCGTTTGAATCACGATTAAGAATTTATCTTCCTGCTCTATCCTGCATGTGAAACATTTTAAATAAAATCATACATTTCAATAAAATCAATCTTTTAACTTTCAATGGGGGTGATGGTTTCACAGCACAGATATAGGGGATCCGAGTCTCACTGTTCTGAATATGCTATTTTGGATTAGCTATTCTGGACTGCCAATTTTAATAATTGTTGGCCATACACTTCTAGAATTAATTCTAAATATATCTTAAGTAGTGATATTTATTGCAGGAATTCAAGAGTTGACACGGTCACAGTAATAAAACCTTCCCTTTTAAGAATCTTTAATTTATAAAACACTGTAAAAATGTCAAGCCTGGAGCTGAATCTATTGTACATGGCTTTTGGATATGTGTACAGTTGTTCAGCCTACCAGCCAAAATGGGTTTCTTAGTGATTCATAACCTTAACGTACAAGGAGAACATGATGAAACCCCTACTAAAATGTTTGGATTTTTCTTTTTTTTTCTTTACAACAAGAAGGACATAATAAAAACCCACTAAAGTGTGGTTTGTTTTGTTTTGTTTTGTTTATTCCTTTTGTTGGGGGACAGCTGCACCATCTTCATTAGAATTGAACACAGCAAAAGAAAAGGCAGAGAAATATATATTGGCAAAGGAAAACATATTGCATTTACAAATACACAATCAGTACTAATTTCAAAATGGTGAACTAGTTTGGATGAATCCCAAACTGGAATTAAGATTTCCGGGAGAAATATCAACAACCTCAGATATGCAGATGATAGCACTCTGATGGCAGAACATGAGGAGGAATTAAAGAACCTCTTAAAGAGGGTGAAAGAGGAGAATGCATAAAAATGGTCTGAAGCTCAACATTAAAAAAACTAAGACCATGGCCACTGCTCCCATCATCTCCTGGCAATTAGAAGGGGAAGATATGGAGGCAGTGACAGATTTTACTTTCTTGGGCTCCATGATCACTGCAGATGGTGACAACAGCCACGAAATTAAAAGACGCCTGCTTCTTGGGAGGAAAGTGATGACAAACCTAGACAGCATCTTAAAAAGCAGAGACATCATCTTGCCGACAAAGGTCCACATAGTCAAAGCTATGTTTTTTTCCAGTAGCAATGTATGGAAGTGAGAGCTGGACCATAAAGAAGACTGACCACCTAAAAATTGATGCTTTTGAATTGTGGTGCTGGAGGAGACTCCTGAGAGTTCCTTGGACTGTAAGGAGAATAAACCTATCTATTTTGAAGGAAATCAACTCTGAGTGCTCATTGGAAGGCCAGATCCTGAAGCTGAGGCTCCAATACTTTGGCCATCTCATGAGAAGAGAAATCTCCCTGGAAAAGACCCTGATGTTGGGAAAGAGTGAAGGCAAGAGGAGAAGGGGGTGACAGAGGACAAGATGGTTGGACAGCGTCATTGACGCTACCAACATG